GTGTTTACAGGGGCGAGTGCAACACCTGAGTCGACATGTGGAGTCGACATGTGCCAACAAACAGCGCATGGTAGTCAACGACTACCTCCAGGAGGTTGAGTGTTGTTTCCCGTACGCGGGAGGGGAATTGAGACATCGCGTCTCGTTCCTAGTGAGTGACGAGCTCCCAATGGATATGTTACTAGGAATGTACTACCTCTCTGTGGCTCAGCCCCAGTTTGACTGGGACCGAAAAGTGGTCAAACACACTTTGCTAGGTGGACGGACCGCCAGATTGCACAAGTTCAAAGCTAGTAGTCTGATCGAGTCCCATGGATGCATGTGTGCGGCCTCGTTCTATAACTATTATAAGCAACAAGCGGACCCGCCGCGGCTCTGCCCGTGGCGAGAGGAGCAAAGATTGTGAGAAATGAGGAGGGGGAGCCTATCTCAATCACTATCCTGTCTCCTTTATTTTGGGATGGTTGCCTTCTTCGCGTCGACCTCTGCTCGCAACGCCTCGTTTCAGATGTTATTGAGATGTTGGTGTGTATGTGCACGAAATAAAGGGAAAAAAAAAAAAAAAAAAAGCTTTTCCGATGTCCTTCCTCTTCCCGACTCCGATCCCGATCACTTTCCCTCCCCATCCCGACGGTTCCTGTTAGATCTCTTCCCCCCTCTCCCTCCATCCTCCTGACTCCCATCCCGATCTCTCTCCCTCCCCATCCTGACTTCTCCCTCCGTCGATTGGCATCGCGACTTCTCTCTCCTCAACCCCTGCCTGCGTGGTGCCAATGTTTCCTCGCTTCCCTCTTTCTCATTTTCTCCGTTAAAAAAAAAAAAAGACAAAAAAAAAACAAACAAACCAACCTTCCTCCTCCTCCTCCTTTCCGTCGTTTTGTCTCCTCCCTTACTCGACTTCCATCGCGACCTCTCCCGACTCCCATCCCGACTTCTCCCTCCTTCTCTTCCTTTGTTGACCCCTCCGTCCATCGTTTCTCCCTCTCCCCTTCCTGTTAGATTCTTTCTCCCTCTCCCTTCCTCCTTCGGACTCCCATCTCGACCTCTCTCCCTGCCTCCCTCCTTCCCTTCCTTCGTTGACCCTTCCCTCCATCGCCTCTCCCTGCCCCTTCCTGTTAGATCTCTTCTCCCTCTCCCTCCCTCCTCCTGACTCCCATCCCAATCTCTCTCCCTCCCCATCCCGACTTCTCCGTCCGTCCCTCACTCCCATCTCGACGTTTCGCGATTCCCATCGCGACTTAACTCTCCTCAACCCCTGTCGGCGTGGTGCCAATGTTTCCTCGCTTCCCTCTTTCTCGTTTTCTCCGTAAAATAAAAAAAAGACAAAAAAAAAAAAAAAACCAACAACCTTCTTCCTCCTCCTCCTTTCCGTCGTTTTGTCTCCTCCCTTTCTCGACTTCCATCGCGACCTCTCCCGACTCCCATCCCGACTTCTCCCTCCATCCATCGTTTCTCCCTCTCCCTCCCTCCCTCCCCATGCCGACGTCTCCAACCCCTCCCAGAGTATCCCGATGTCTCGCTTCTTTCGCTTATCCCGACTTCGATCCCTCCTCCCTCTCGCCTTCCTGTTAGATCCTTTCTCCCTCTCCCTCCCTCCTCCGGAATCCCATCCCGACCTCTCTCCCTCCCCATGCCGAAGTCTCCAGCCCCTCCCAGCGTATCCCGACGTCCTTCTCTCTTCTCAACCCCTCCCAGCGTATCCCGACCTCTCGCTTCTTTCCCCTATCCCGACTTTGATCCCCCCCTCTTCCCGACTCCCATCCAGACCACTGCCCCTCCCCCTCCCGACCCTATCCCGACATCTCGACCTCTCCTCCTCCTTTTCCCGACTCCCATCCCGACATCTCCCGACTCTCCATCCCGACTTCTCCCTTCCCAGTCCCATCCCGACCTCTGCCCCTCCCCCTCCCGACCCTATCTCGACATCCCGACATCTCTTCCTCCTTTTTCCGACTCCCATCCCGACCTCTCCCGACTTTCCATCCCGGCGTATCCCGACCTCTTGCTTCTTTCCCCTATCCCGACTTCGATCCCCCCCTCATCCCGACTCCCATCCCGACCTCTGCCCCTCCCCCTCCCGACCATATCCCGGCATCCCGACCTCTCCTCCTGCTTTTCCCGACTCCCATCCCGACCTCTCCCGACTCTCCATCCCAACTTCTCCCTTCTTCTTTCCCCTATCCCGACTTCGATCGCTCGCTCTTCCCGACTCCGGCCTCTCGCGATTCCCATCCCAACTTCTCCCTTCTCAACCCCTCCCCGCGTATCCCGACCTCTTGCTTCTTTCCCCTATCCCGACTTCGATCCCCCCCTCTTCCCGACTCCCATCCCGACCTCTGCCCCTCCCCCTCCCGACCATATCCCAACATCCCGACCTCTCCTCCTACCTTTCCTGACTCCCATCTCGACCTCTCCCGACTCTCCATCCCGACTTCTCCCTTCCCAGTCCCATCCCGACCTCTGCCCCTCCCCCTCCCGACCATATCCCGACATCCCGACCTCTCCTCCTCCTTTTTTCGACTCCCATCCTGACCTCTCCCGACTCTCTATCCCGACTTCTCCCTTCCCAGCGTGGTCCCAACATTTCTTCCGCTTACTTCTTCCCGACTCCCATCCCGACCTCCGCCCCTCCCCGTCCCGACCATATTCCGACATCCCGACCTCTCCCTGCGCCCTTCCTGTTAGATCCTTTCTCCCTCTCCCTCCCGCCTCCCGACTCCCATCCCGACCTCTCTCTCTCCCCATCCCGACCTCTCCCCCCTTTCCTTCCTTCGCTTACTTCTCCCTCCAGCCCTCACTCCCATCCCGCTCAGTTCTCCCTCCATCCCTCACTCCCATCCCGACCTCTCATGATTTTCATCCCGACTTCTCCGTCTTCAACCTCTCCCAGCGTGATCGCAACGTTTCTTGCTTCTTCTCTCTTTGTCCTTTTCTCCAA